AATATGTTTTGAATTTAAAAAGAAAATCCCATGATATGTAAAATTTCAGAAATTTTCAATTATTTTTTTAACTCTTTCTCTTTTAGCATGAGTTCCAAAATAAAATTTAAAAAAGAACCTTAGATATGTTTTCACTTCATATCTAAGTGTTATCTTTTCCAAGCAAAACATCATTTTTTAAATTTACTGAATTCGTTTTTTCTTTTAGAAATTTTCGAACAGTTTTGGGAAAATGTTGTGGACTGTTGAACATACCGTTTCTAACTAGAATATATGGAAGTTTGTCAAGCTTTGAGAAAGCTTTAATGAGATTGTATCTAAGCCAAATCTATGCCCAGCTGCAAGTAAAAGATTCTAGTTCTTATAGGTATATTGATCCGATTGCTGATGCTGATCAAAAATATATAAACTTTTGAATAGTAGCTTCGCATATTCCCTGACAAAATGAAGACAGCCTCTCTGCCCATTAAAACAGAGTCCAAAGTGAAGTGCAAGAACCCGACGCCCAGAGAGTAAAGAGTACCGAGTCCAGACAACACTTTTGATTCAGGTTCTGGTTATGTTGCGGGAATCGTGAGCGACACTTGATGCGCCCAGCAAATGAACAGCAGAGGAGACGGCGGGGCGGGGCGGGGCGCAGCTCAGCTTAATGCAATTTACTTAATGCCTGACAAACAGTGGCCCCCCATATCCCCGCCCCGCTTTGACGTGTCTGCTTATTAGTTCATAACTTTTATTATTGCCAGCGAATGAAGCAGTTGAGCTTGTCGAGCTTGTACATAATTGGAAAGAAAACCCGTTGAAATTGAAGCAACAGCAACAACAAATGCAACAAGAGCAACATCAACAACAACTAACAGCAATTAACGATAGTTAAACGCAGCACTGACAACAACAACAACAACAACAAAGTTGCAGCAACTCTTGCCAGTGGCTTCTGCAATAGCCTTGACAGAGCAAGAGAGAGAGAAGGAGAGAGCGAGAGCGAGAGTGTGCGCGAAAGAGACAGATGATAGTTGGCAAATGGAAGTTGCTTGCAACTTGTGTGACATTCTTTGCTTTGCAGCAAGTCGCATCCGCAGCTGTTGCTGCAACTGTTCAATAATGCAAAGAAAACATTTAAGTTGCAGCAACTTGGCGACTTGGCTGCAGCTGCCCCTACCCCCAGCCCCCAGCCCCGCCCCCAGCAGCCCCTTTCAGTGCTACAAAATAGTTTCTCAATTGCAAAATTTATGAGCTGCATTCACTGACAAAATCGTGTGGAAAATAACAATGAAATTGCCAAAAACGCAGCTCGGGGAAAAGAACTCGCCTGTTTTGCGCGGGAGCTGCGGCCAGAGTTGCCACGGCGGGAGTTGTCGTTGCATAAAAAGAAATTGCAATTTTCAAATAAATATGTATATACAGACAATTTGTTGGTTTTGTGAGTGACAGACGAACCAAGCTAAACGGCAGTTGGCCAACTTTGCTGCGAGCTAAACTTAAATATAGGTTACCAGGCACTTTGTCATGCAGTTTGCCAGGCACAAAGCGAAACATATTGAATGCTTCAAAAGTTAGCGAGTGAGAGAACTCAGTTTAATGCTTGATTGAGCAGGGAAAAACTTATATATAAAATTGTTGTGTGTAAAGTCGATTAGTTTCATATTTATTTACCAAGATATTTATTTGATATTTTTAACAGCCTTTGATCCCAATTGTAAGCTTGTGATTCCCCTTTAAATATAACCAGCGTATAAATTAAGGGTATATACTTCGGAGTATTTACTTACTGTGAGCTGAAAGATCAGCTTTATATGTCAGCCATATCCCATTAGAGTATTATTAAATCTAGGGCATGCATGAGTCGACTTGCCTGGGGAAAACTGGCCAGTTTTATTGCCCCATTCAAGCAAACTTGAATTTTATTCAAAGCTGGCCCTCCAGCGTATTAGGCAATCAATATCTATTCAGAAATATACGATTTTCGTGCCAAATATGGTCACACTGAACACTAATCTAATGCTGCCCATTATCGTGTCGAATAGCTGAGTAACCCAGTCTCTGTCTCTTTCGATTGCGACCGGGCAACAGCTGTTTGGCTCTTTGATCACATAATGCTCTGCACATAAAGCGGTTTTTTTTTTTTTTTTTTTTTGAAGACAAAGCTAAAACTTGTTTCTGAAACGCGAATATATCGAGAGGAGCAACAAAAACATCGGATTGTGGGCGTTGAGAGACAATTAGCCGCATGCCGCAACCCGAAACGGGTTTGGTGAGTCAACAACTATTCGCTAAACACGGTATCACAGTGGCGCCCCAACCAAGCATGACAGCAAAAAACCAAGCTAGTAAAGGTCGAGGCTGCTCGACTAGGCGATATCCTGCATACAGCTCGGAGCTAAGCCAAGTTCTGATGAAATATTGTATTTTATATTGAATTGATCTTCAAAGTTAAAACTGTTTAATTTGAATTTGCTATTGGGAAATTCTCTAGCTCCTATGTTTCCAGATATATCGATATTTATCGATTTAAAGGAAATGGAATAATTGGAAGAATAATCTATTGAATAAGATCTGTTCCACTTATATTCGCTAGATATGCTACATTTTGATTATGCAGCTTCTATGATCTATGATCTAAGAGAAATATTTCAGAATTCTTGGGTAAAATCGATATATATAGATTTCTAGAAAATGACAGAAGTGAGAGCACGCATTTATAAAGACAAACCTGTTTAATTTTGTCAAATTTGTATTCGTCAGCTTTCAGAGATGTGTTAAAGAAAAAACTTGGAAAAAATCAAAATATATCGATCTAAAAGAACTTGAAGAAATCAAAACGCTTTGCTTTGCGTACAAATTACGAAATGTGTCTGTTGCTAATCTCCGAGATCATACAGACATGCATAGCTTGATCAAAAATATACTACATATTTGGTGGGCGATATTTCCTGCCTGCCCGACATACATTATACCCAGTTCTAATCATTCTCAATGTACACAGGGTACTTAAACAAGAACTATGGAATTTGAAAAAGGCAAATGCACAATGTTCGCCCCACAAAGGCGCCCAAATAGCGCACCGCAGAGTGGATTGCATGGGGGCAACAGGCGTATTAGCGTGCACACTTTGGATTATATACCATTTATTTCATCTTCCGTTTCGGCTGTCTGTCTGGCTGACTGTCTGTCTGCCGCTGGGTCTGTCTCTCCAACTGTCAGTCACAGTCAGTTTCAGCTGCTGCATTCAATTAACATGGACAGCTGACTGGCTGGCCGTGAAGGGGGAGGCTGGGGCTGGGGCTGGGACTGTGGGAGCTGCTGCTCCAGAATGCAGTTCCCAAATGTTTGACCATTAAATGCTTTGGCAAATGACTCAACATTGACAGTTCTGTTGTTTCGCTGCAAACATTTGTTTTCCATTTTTTTTCGCCCTCTCTCTTTTTGCAAACCGAACGCAGTTTTCAGTTTTCAGTGTGACCAGCAGTGTGTTTTTTTTATTGTTTAGTTTGAACCCCTTTGGCATTTATGCCATTGCGTTTCGGTGTGTTTGAATTGTTTTTGACGCAGCGTTGGCAGCTTTGACAGCTCCCTGAATAACTGCGGGCAAATTTCAAAATATTCTCACCGTTTTTTTTCTTTTTGTTTGTGTGTTTTCTATTTTTCTTTTTTTTTAGCCGTAGTCGTAGTCGTCGGTTGTCTAATATTGTCTATTGGTTTTATAAACTTTTATTTTGCGAGTCTATCAAAGCGCTTCACGTGCAGCAAATGTGTTTAACGCAGAAAACTTTTGCAACTAGATTCAAATTTCCACAGTCGGCGAGAACTTTGTCATAACTTTTGCAGCCAGTTTATGGCTTGCTGTGAAGCTAATAAAGTTTTCAAATTGCGTTTGAGTTTTGGCAGTTTCTCATTTGCGTTTAATCTTTGGTGCTTAAAGCGAGCGAAAATTAAGCTAAAAATTCTACAAAAATCGGTAAAAGTAAAGATCAAGCGTAAATATGCTCCAAATAATAATAATACTATATTAAGAATATAAATTGGAATGTCTTATAGCGAAAGACAGTCAGCGCAAAGCTTACGAATGCCACACAAAGAGGAAACGAAAAAGGAATGGCGCTCTTCTGCTACGTTAACTAAGGAAATAACTTCATTGAAATATAAGATATTTATCATTAAAGCGTGCGAATATTGGGCTACAAATTCTACAAAAATCAGAAAAAGAGACGACTCTCTCTTCTTTTCAAACATATCCAAGTGCAGCCAGTGCAACGCTTACGAACGTCACACAAAGCGGAAAGACAAATGCGCTCTTCTAAGCCTAAGATCAGGCTTATTAGCTAAGAAAATAATTGCATTTCCAAGGAGGAAGTACTATTTATAAGGCCAGATGCCTTATAAGCACTATTCGCATCAAGCTAATGCACTTACTGCCAATGTCAAATGGCAAACGATTTGCATAGCTAAGAGCTAAGGCTTTTAATATTGTATCCAAGGTAATCTTTTCATCTGATTTATTAGCTATTCTTCGCTACGCTCAAGTGCTTGGCAAAGCGCAGTTTCTCAACTTTAGCTTGAGAATCATTATTGTGCATGATTCATGCGCGACATTTTCTCATTGCTCAATGCAACGCCCAACTTTATGTAGCCATTGTAAATTTCATATACATATATATATATATATATTTATATATATATATTTATATATATATATCCATTGTACGTCAACTGCACCCACACACTTAACTATATGGTCTGTTGTGCTTCTGTTGTCAGCTATTTTATATATATTTTTATTTTTTTTTCTGTGCTCTGTTTTCTCTTATTTTTCGTAGCCCATTTATGGTTAGCTTTTGTTGCTGATTTATTGTAGTTTAGCTTTTGTTTCCAGTTTTTACTCTCTTTTTTTTTTGGGGAAAAATTAATAAATATTTTGTGGTGGGTGGACAAAGTTGAAAGTGCACTTTTGGCGAAAGAAAAAAAAAAACGTTTACATTTATCGATAACTCGGTACTCACTTAATCTGCCAAAGCTGTGCGATAGCCTCTTTTTGAGCTTCTGCAGGGCGCCGCCTTTTTTCTCGCGCATTGTGACGCCTGAAATGAATCGAGAATGTAAAACATTAATATACATACATAAAAGATTGGTTTAATAAAATTTAAACAGATGTTTATTTATGGAAAGCTGACACAACAAATTAACATAAATCAGTGGAGCGTGGTGTGCCATAATAATAAATAGATAAGTGCGTAGCCCCACGGTTGACCCCAGTCGCGTTAGGCAGGGCTAGGCCTGGGGCGACAACAGCTTCAACGACACGCACAATTCCAAATGAAAAGCCAATTTACATCGTAAAATTCGAATGAAAAACTACTCCAAAATAGAAATGCACTCTCCGCTGATGCGTCTGTGGAGCGCTAAGGGCGGGCCCGGCCCGGGAAGGCGCCTTCTCTAACTTATTGTGGGACGGCAGTTCCTATATATATATGTATATATATGGTATATGGATATTGGGGCACTTATGTGCTCGTAATTGAGTTGTATAATTCCGTTGTTATTACATGCACTGCTTTTATTGTTTTAGTTGTTGTTGACCAGCGCATTTAACAAAGTTATTTCAGCGTCCAGTGAACCATGCAAATTGTGGCAAAGTTTTTACGCCACATATTTATAGGGCTTAGTTGTTGTATCAGCTGTTTTGGCAGTTATATTTGCTGTTCTTGTTGCTGTTTAGCTGCTTTGTTGATTGGCATAATGATTTGGTTAACAAACTGTGCTAGCTGCACAATCAAATTGTTGTTTAGCAAAGTTAACAAAGTTGGTTTTTTATCAACTGCTGCAAAACTATTGAACATATCGAATGTTCCTTTTTTTTCATATTGCATTCGCAACATTTGTTCTTTGTTTTAACTGTTGTGGTTTTTAATATATATTAAAGTTCCCGTCTGGAATTTGAACTCATATGCGTCTAATCTAAACCAAATTTCTATGTGGCTTGGCTTTTTGTGCATTAGCTTCATGTTTTTTTGGCGATATTTATTTATTAAGACTTATGGAATATCGGACTCAACTGATTTTTGTCAAAAGTCATGCAAAAGCTGTGGACTTTGAAGCTCACAGGTCTCTACCAAAGTCCATTGATTGTTCGATTGAGATGCTAATCTTCTTAACCTTCATATATCCAACTTCATTATAAACTTTGAAACAATTTTGTAAGCCTAAGCAATGCGAACTGGTTTTCAGCTTTTTATATATGCTACCTCTCAACTGCATTCCATACAAGTTTGGGCCAGGAAATTGGCACTTGAAAAGTCATTTATCAAACTCTGCCACTTTGAATATGACCACCAAAAACTGACATTGATGAGAATGATGCCACATGATGTTGCATGGCCCCGCGGCAGACTCGTTGACCCATCGACAGTCTGGCACCTTGGCTGGCCCCCACCCATTTAACTGGCGGCCAACAGCCGACACCAGCAATTAAATCTACAAATATTTTCTGTGGAAAATACATATTTTTTTCCAGTACTAAATCATTGGATAAGTATCTCTTCAGTGTCTCGCCATATCTATAGCCCACTGTTATTGTAGCGTCTACTGTTGTTGTTGTTGTTGTCAAAAGCAATTTGGTATAACAACAATGCGAACAAGTCGAGCAAAGCAATTTATGGCATAAATTCATATATATAAATGTATATAGATAGATGCACACGCACACACACACAAATGTATGTAAAACTCGGCACTTCAACTCAATTAAAGGCACACTCTCATAACCATAAGCTCATGTTGCTGTTGTTGTTGACTTTAAAACTACCATCCAAAATCATAAGCCAACCCAACAAATAAGAGTGTTCTCTAGTCGAGAGTGTTCGACTAGGCGATATGCTACTCGGAATTGACTCAATACAAAAAAAAGTACTCGAAATCATCTCGAATAACACAAAGGTTCACTTGTAAATTATATAAAGTTCAGCAAAAAAATCATTAAAATAGGCAAGTCCTACTTGAATTCATGAAAATCGCGTAGAGAGGCGATACAGGACGTACAGGCGGAGGGAGTGAGAGTAAGGCTTAAAGGAACAAAGAAGCCAAGAAAATAGGAGTGAAGAGAGAAAGAACGAGAATACGGGTGATGAGTAAGAGAGAGAAACGGCTTACAAAAAGAAATGGAAAGGGAAGAAGAGAGAACACTATCCGCTACATTCAATAATAATATCAAAATCATATGATCATATCTTGTGCTTATGAAAATCGCATAGAAGGGCGATCCAAATTTTTGAGCGGAAAAATGCACTTAAATAAATAAAGCTTGATTTATATTTAGAAAACACAATAAAACAAAATATAGAATACATTATCTAAATACCTACAGACAAAATGGGGTAACATCTATTCAACCAGCTTTTGTTATACCCGAAATGAGGCAGTTTTAAGGGGCAACGAGTATTGGTATTAACGAGCACAACTTACTAAAAACAACTGCAATTTGAAGCTTTGCTATGTAAGTGCTCGAAAACAGATTATGATCCTTGGGGCTGGGTAAATGCACGAATGTGAGCGCTGTCAACGCGCCCGGTTGCATACAAATTGCAGGCACTGTGCTTGTTGTTGTTGTTGTTGTTATTGTTGCTGGCATCGAATGCAATATGCAAATAGAGAAAACGGCGCCAGGCGAACAGTTTTGTGCATCTGACAAATTGTTTTAAAGCCGCCATTTAGAAGCCAGACGCCCAATTTCGAGTTTCAACAATTGCATTTGGCATTACATTAAATGGGGCTGGCAGTTGTAGTCGTTGTTTTTAAAAGCCCATTAAAGTTGTTTGAGATGCACAAAAGTTTGCTTTTTTCCCTCTGCTGTTGTTGTTGTTGTGCAAATAAAAGGCAAACAAGCGAAATGAGTCGCAACTCGCTCGCTGCAAGTGGAAGAAGAAGTTGCATCAACGAGAAACTTATTTAATTAAGACTGCAAAAGGCGCTGCAAACTTTGAGCAGATGCTTCAATTGCAGTTGTCGCTGCTGCTGCTGCCTCTGCTTGTTGCATTAATGAGTGAAGCACACACACACACACAGAGACACACACTCGCACACACACCCTTGCCTCGCATCAAAATCAAACTTTGCTATTGGCATCAATGTCAAAGGCAGACAAATTTCTGTTGACAGTTTGTCGAGTTCAATACCCACCCTTCCCCTACCCCACCCCACCCTTCACGACCTCCCACTTGTGCTTGTGGGCGTGGCATGCCGAAAATAACAGAGACACGCGAACACAACATAATTCGCACCACTTTTGTCAACCAATTAGCGCCAGACAAAAGCGCCAATTGACCATAATCAAATGCCTGGTCCGTTATATGCGAGTATTTACTGTTGGCCAACAAACAAAAAGAGCTGCACGCGAATTAATTACAAGTTTACGGAAATGAAAAGTGCTTCAAGTCATATGATTATTTGCGACTAGACATGACTTTTAGGCATTTCGAATGAATACAATTAAGTTTTTCCCAGTCGAAGTTCGGGGTACGAAGCGCAGGATGAATCATTGTCTTATTTTTCGAACAATTCTTCCCTTAGAGCTATAGAACATAGTACACTGCGATATTAATAAGACTTAGCTTCCTATCGCAGATATATGATATAGTGTTCCGATCCGGCAGATTCCGATATATTTACTGCCTGCAACAGAAAGACGGACCTATGCTAGGTTTCAAGACGATTTCTAACTGAGGAACTAGTTCGCATAGAAACAGACAGACAGATCAAACGCGGCTGTTGATGCTGATCTAGAATATATATATATTTTATGGGGTCGGAGATGTCTTCTTCTATGCGTCGCACATTTCATGACAAAATTATAATAGAGCCTACAAGGGTATACAAATTAATTTGAAGCAAATTTGCAGAAAGAAAGCAAAGAGCAAATACTCTATAGTATATGAAAAGAACTAGTCTATGAGAAAAGTTCATATGGCAAAGAATTGTTCTAGAAAGTGTAAAGTATTTGATATATGCTCGTATTATATATATCTCAATCTTTTCTTACACAATCCCTATATATATATGAAAGTGTCTCATCATGATATTCGCTTTGTTATCTAAAAAATGCGTTCGTTTATTGTTAATAAACGATTAAAATATTAACAACATTATAATCTGTAGTCCCTGAACTTATAACATATAAATGTATTTATTTTATATTTATCAGCTGTGAGTCAAGTTGATAAAAGTTGTGAAATGAATAATATTGTGAATAATATTGTGACTAAGTCAATGTGAGCTGAATGGGCTTAACAATTTTTGATTTAGTCTGTTCAATTAGGTATATTTAACGAAATGTCAAAAACCATATGAAAAGTCGAGCAGGCATTCTCGAAAAATTGAGGCAGGCAGCGAAATTTATTATACAGCAACAAAGTGACATGAAATGAAATTCTGAGCACTTTTCAAATATCTTGTTAATGACGTAATTACCTCACTAAGCAAGCAAAGGGGGGGGGGGGGGGGGGGGGGTAGGGGAAAGGGGCAGCTGGTGACATGTTGCCGTGTGGCGTGCCACACGACGTATACGTGACATTTTGGCCATGCCATGCAAGCGCACGCTCGTTGCTCATGCAGCAGCCGTTCCCCTACCCCTGCCCCCCTCCCCCTCCCGCCATCAACCGCATCCCACAAGCACACACCCCCTGCGTGCTGATGCGTCTGTCTGTCTGTATGTTTGTGGGCGCCTGGCCAAGTGAAAATCCGTTGCATGAGAAAATAGATTTTGTGTAGAAAATGTTCATGCGAAATATTTTGACACTTGGCGACAGCAGCTGACTAATTGCGAGAGTCTGGAGAGCGGCCTTTCTCTCTCTCTCTTTCTCTCACTCTCTCTCTCTCATTCTTGGCCAAAAATAGCGCATTGGCCAAAGGTTTAAAGTGCAGGCCGGCGGACAGCTGACGGAACCGATGCCCCGCCCGGAATGATTGAATGGCTTATAAATGACGTGAACAATTTGCCCGTTGGCGACAACTCTGGCAGCCGCACGAAAATAGCAGAGTTGACGCCCGGTCAGATACGCAACACGCTTTTGCAACACTGGCTGACGGC